ACTTGGATGGAATGTGCAGCTTAGTTTGCACAAATTATTGATCAACTATTTTTTTCATCAGCTAATAGAGCACACCTCTTGCATTGCTTTATTTTTCCTTACTCTTAGATTGATATCCCACCTTTCCTCCACCACTTGAAGGCAGTGCATGTAGCCCTCCTTCATCCAGTTATTTCCACATAACATCCCTGTGAAATTGGCCAAGCTTGGAGAGAGTGTCTGGCTCAAAATTATCTAGTGAATGTCCATGCCCAAAGGTGGATTTAAACCTAGTTCTAACCTTAACTGATACATCACACTGGCTCTCTTGCTTGAATTTTATTTTGCACCAGGGCTCTTGTAACATGCTTCTTGAACTGCTGACATTTACTAAGATAAAGGCTTGAAGTATCTAATAACAGATTAGTCATGAAGTCATTAGTCATTAGCCAGTTTGGTGTCATGGCGAAGGTGCTGACCTAGAACCTAGGAGACTGTGAGTGCTAGTCCTGCCTTAGGCGTGAAACCTAGCTGGGTGACTTTGGGCCAGTCCATCTCAGCCCAGCTCACCTCACAAGGCTGTTGTGGGGAAAATAGGAGGAAGAAGGAATATTAGGTATGTTCACTGCCTTGAGTTATTTATAAAAATAATAAAGGTGGGATTTAGGAGGCAAGGAAGACAGCAGCATCCAAATACCACCAAAGGATAAGACAGGTCTTGAAGAGCCAGTTCAGTGGGAAAAACAGGATCCATGCCATCAACATGTATGCCCTGCCAGTCATCAGACACCCTGCCGGTATAGTGAGCTGGCCAAAGGAGGACATGGAGGCTCCCAATGTGAAGACCTGGAAGCTCCTCACAATGTACGGAGGTTTCCACCCCAAGTCACCCAGAGACTGTACACCAGCTGGAAAGAGAGCAGGTGGGGTCTGGTGGGCATCAAAGCCACTGTCCTGGATGAAACCCAGAGCATCCAGGAGTACATCATAAGATGGCACCCAAAGATGAGCTGTTGAGAGAATGCCGGAGACAGCAGCAGACATGGGAGGAAGTTCAAGTGGAGGAAGTGCCATGGCAAGACAAGACCCTGCATGGGATGTACCATTGACAGATAGCTAAGATGGCTGACATTGAGAAATCCTACCAGTGGCTGGAAAGGGTTGGACTAAAAGACAGCACTGAGGCACTGATCATAGTGGCACAAGAACAGGCACTAAGCACCAGATCCACAGAAGCAGGGGTCTACCACACTAGACAGGACCCAAGATGCAGACTCTACAGAGAGCCCTCAGAGACAGTCCAACATATAGTGTCAGGGTGTAAGATGCAGTCAGGAACAGCATACACTGAACAACACAACCAAGTAGCTGGCATTGTGTACAGGAATATCTGCACAGTGTATGGGCTAGACCCTCCCAGGTCCAGATGGGAGATTCCACACAAGGTTGTGGAGAAAACAGGGCTAAGATCCTGTGGGACTTCCAGATACAGATGGACAGGCAGGTACTGGCCAATCAACCAGATATCATAGTAGTAGACAAGGACCAGAAGACAGCGGTGGTGATAGATGTAGCAGTGGCAAGTGACAGCAACATCAGGAAGAAGGAGCATGAGAAGCTGGGGAAGTACCAGGCCCTGAAGGAGGGACTAGAGAGGATGTGGAAAGTAAAGACCAAAGTGGTTCCAGTGGTGGTAGGAGCACTCGGGGCTGTGACTCCTAAGATGGGAGAGTGACTCCAGCAGATTCCAGGAACAACATCAGAGCTCTCTGCCAGAAGAGTGCAGTGCTCGGAATAGATAAGGTACTATGCAGAACCCTCAAACTCCCAGGCCTCTGGTAGAGGCCCCGAAATTGAGGAAGACACATACCACCCATAAGGGTGAGAGGGAATTTTTTTTTTAATGGTGATTGAGCAGACTGGGAGTCAGTATCAAGACAGACACAATCTTGAGAAACTGGAATACTAGATTTTGTATTTATTTTTTATTGGATAAACCGAAGATTGAGACAATATTATTACTCCTACGGCTGAAATCGTCAAGGTTTGACATTCAAGGACGATATTCAAATCCTATTAGATGATTAGATGATAGAAAACAAATTGATGCATAATCCCAATTGAATTGAGGTCCTCAGTCAGTCAAAAGACAGATTAAGGAACTGCTAATTGTCTTGAGCATCAGTTTGAAGGAAAAGGCAAACTATAAATCTAATCAATAAATGATTCCTTCTTTCAACTGTGTAATGCCACTTGGTCTAACTCTGCATCTAAGCCTAGGCTCTACTTTTTAGGCAACACATAAAAGACCTAGATTTTTTCATTAGGATTATTTCCAATATATGTGTGATGGAATGGACTTATGAAGGCCAGGCTCAGGGAGATAAGCGTGTTCTTAGTTCACC